GACAGACGCTCTGCTGAGGACGGGGTAGAAGTGTGTGACGTGGGTTGGAGGACAAACCCTAGTGAAATCCTTTCTCCTGTAACTTTCCCCTCTGTCACCAGAGTCACGGGTGCTGCCAGTGCAGACTCATTTCTGTGTGTTGCAGAGGGAAGTCGGCAGGATGTTGGGGCAAATTCAGCCCAATCAGTGTCTTCCACCTCAGCAGCTGCGGCTGACATCACTGAGTACTTCCAGGCTCATAAGTTTGATGTTGGCCCGGAGGAGCTCAGGTGTGGTGCAGACAGATGTTCTGCTGAGGAGGGCAGAGTAGAAGGTGTGTGGCACGGGTCAGAGGATGACCCCTGGTGGAATAAAGTCTTCTGTGGATGTATCCTTTGTCCCCACAGCTATGAGTATCATGATTGAGGATTCATTGCTGCGCACAGCAAAGGGAGGATCACAGGATGATGGGGGAACACTGACCCCCTCTGAATCTGCTTTCTCAGAGACTGGATCTGACAACACTGTATTCTCGCAGGCTGATAGGTTTGATGTCAGCCCAGAGGAACTCAGTGGTTGTGCTGACCAGTCTCTGGCTGAAGCAGAAAGAGCAGAAGTGTGGGAGACAGGTCAGAGGGTGGAGGTCCTGGTATCCAAGCCATGGAACCAAGTCCAGATCACCCAGGAACAACCTTATGCCAGGCTCAAGCGTCTGGGTGTTGCAGCTGATAGAGAACCACCAGATGACCCTGGCCAGTAGCTGAAAATGATGACAGCACACAATGACAGGTTTGCCTGCACCCTTCCAGTAGTTAGACAGTGGCCAGTGGATGAAATGGATCCGTGGGGTGATCTGCTGGCCAGTTGCGACCCAAACCCTTTAGGATCAGTCAGAGAGCTGTACAGGAGCCCTCTCCCATTGGCAGGGGGACGGGCTGAGCTGTCAGAGGTATCAAGCTTTAGTTGGAAGGACTCCCCCCCCCCCCCCAAACCTTGGGAACCTTCCTGGCAGACACGTTAGCCGACCCGTTTAGGCTCAGCTATGCGTCCTCTGGAAGAGGGGAGATGTAACGTACATGAAAAATTTGAGCAGAGAACATGACAATGTAAATTTAGCCCATTCCTTGTTATTAAAGAAATATTCAGTCCTTGTCATTGGGGAAATGAGGTACTCAGACAGAAGGTCATCAATTAGCATCTGAAAAGCCTACATTTTTGACACCTTGGGGCTAATAAGGTTTTGTCACCTCCTGGGGAAATAGTTTAAAGGAAATGGCTCCAGACATTTGGGCTTCCTGACAGCAGGGGGTCTCCGATCTGTCCTGAGAGCTAAAAGTATGTCCATACATCAAAGGGGTATGTTTCATCTCTCATAAAAGCTAAAATATTAGTTGCAGAGAGATGAAAATACTTACTTCTAATAGTGCACGATGTGCGCCACACCTACGTATGAAAACCATATTTTTGGCTTAGGTAGAAGGCCAGGAAAATGCAGGAAATGGTTAGGTGGCGCTGGAGTGCGACAGTAGAACAGTGTTTGGTACTGTCACAATCAGGCTGATGCGCTGGTGTCGGAAATCCAATCCCCGACTTGGTGTTTCAAGCCAGTCTTGGTCCGATTGAACTTGGGCAGGTCAGCACCCAGAACATCCTGTGGGCAGGTACAGGAACACCCCCTCTAATGTCCCGCCTACATCCATATCCCATAAATGGAGTACCCGGACATTGGGACATGGTAATTCTTATGGAGCTAGTTCGATCAACCAACGTATTGCTGTTTCTCCCTGGCTTGCTCCAGTCGCAGGGTAAATCCTGGTAAAGTTTACTTCTGTCTTTTATTCCCTTTTATTTTATAGTGAATAGTCTATGTGTGTCTTGTATTTTTTGTATTTTCTGTAACATTTTATATTTTGTACATATTTTATGCACTGCCCACTTTCGGGAAATTAAATCTTAAAATTAATTAGTGACTTCTGTATATTTAAGCACAGGCTCATATCTTCGGAGAGATTAGATTGGAGAGATTAGATTGTATTTTAGTGCCTTTAAACGCTCAGTCAAGCTCATTGCCAATCTGTATGCAATTGCACTGCGTGTGGGCAGATTGCATGCAGATTGTAAAAGGTAACACATCTGCCAGACAGAGATCTGTGTGTGTGTGGTGTCTCAGCAGACCGTTCTGCGGATAAACTGCTGGGTGGTGGCAGGCTACCTTTTGTGGTGTGTCTGGTGTGGGGTGTGTGGACAGTGGAAGAGTGATTAACACCGGGGTTCAAGCTGTAGGATAGCTGGAGGGATCCTAGAAGGGTGTGTAATTACTAAACTGCTCCTCAACTCTAATTAGTGCACCAGATTGTATATAAGATTTGTATCTGCCAGTGTGTGTGGTCCACCAGCTGGATTGGAGTGGAGTCTCACTGTGGTGGTGGCCAAAACATAGTGCGAGCTGTGGAAGTACATCACGACTGATCTTATATACGGTTTTATATATTCAAAGTTGAGTCCCCTTATTCTCTCTTACCCCAAGTCACGGCCGCACGTGCGCGCCTCGGTTAGCTAGTCGCTGTGGCGTGTGGGGGAACTTGTGACATGAGGATATTCCCTCTGTGTAGAAGCAGTGGTCTTTCTGCAGATGCCCGACACATCCCTGCTAAAGATGGCCATAAATGGATTGAAATGACAAATTTTGATGTAGTGTAGCCATTCCTGTTTGGCAGTGTATTCTGATCAGTCTCCTGAATGTAGATATGTAATGTATTAAAGTCCTGGTTATGCCTGATAATAGCCCATTTGATGACTTATGCCGGGTCCAGGGCCCTGCTACTTGTTAAGGGAATTTCGTTTTTAGACTGCTTGATATATAGATTGATAAAAATGATATGGCTTTATTATGATTTATTGAGTCATATAGATGTTCGGGTTTGAAGAGCTATTGAAATGTTTTTCTCCGTTTTCATTATGGTTTTGAGGTTCAAATCCTTGTCTGATATATGAATATAGTAATGCATTAGTCTTTGCATGTGAACACCTTTGAGGGTATTTGGATATAAAATTATAGCATTTTCACCTGTCAAGGGTTCTAATCCCTCTCCACTTTATCCAAAATAAAAACGCATCACAGAGCACCATGTTTGAGTCTATTGTGCCCTTCCCCGGGTGTTGGCATTTGAAGGGCACACTAGATCTGAGATGTCCCGCTCACCACTTGTCCCCTGACCAGCTCACAGAACATTTCATACATCCCATGGTTATTGTAAAGTAAAAGCTCAGGAACACAGAGGACTCCCTATAGCATGCAAGACCCACAAGTGCCGCTATCACTTTCCTTACTGTAAGAGTGGCAGTTGCTGTCAACAGCACATGTCCACAGGTGAGGTGATCCATCCTACACTGCCTGTATAGTCCCAGCAGGGATCCACGTCACTTAACCCTGGTACTGGAAGCAGTGGCTGAGAGAAAGTGTTCGAGGTACACAGCTGGTGACAGGTGTCACCACAGCGCAGCCCTGCGGGCATGCACAATGCGCGTTCCAGAAAGGATGCCATATGGCGTCCACCCGGAGGGACAAAGTGTTCACCCGGCCGCCATTTGGCCATAGGCCAGGCGGCAACTGGTTAAACATGTCCAGTATAAAAATTTAAAAAAATCTGATTTCATCATAAATTTAGGCCAAAATCTATTCTGGTCCATGTCTTTGCTAAGCAAAATACCAATACGTGTAAATTAATTGGTTTATGACCTTAAATTGTACACCCCTTGAGGGTTAGGGACTGATGTGAATGTACAATATATATATGTAAAGTGCTGTGTAAATTGACAGCGCTATATAAGTACCTGAAATGAAATGAATTTACATGAAAGTTATAGCATCTACAAATGGCGGTATATACAGGTGAAACTCGAAAAATTAGAATATTGTGCAAAAGTTCATTTATTTCAGTGCAGCAACTTAAAAGGTGAAACTAATATATGAGACTCATTCCATGCAAAGCAAGATAGTTCAAGCCGTGATTTGTCATCATTGTGATGCTTATGGCTTACAGCTCATGAAAACCCCAAATCCACAATCTCAGAAAATGAGAATATTCCATGCAATCAATAAAACACGGATTGTACATAGAACAATATCGGACCTCTGAAAAGTAGAAGCTGCATATGTACTCAGTACTTGGTTTGGGCCCCTTTTGCAGCAATTACTGCCTCAATGCGGCGTGGCATGGAAGCTATCAGCCTGTGGCCCTGCTGAGGTGTTATGGAAGACCAGGATGCTTCAATAGCGGCCTTCAGCTCTTCTGCATTGTTCGGTCTCATATCTCTCATCTTTCTCTTGGCAATGCCCCATAGATTCTCTATGGGATTCAGCTCAGGCAAGTTTGCTGGCCAATCAAGCACAGTAATCCCACGGTCATTGAACCCGGTTTTGATGCTTTTGGCAGTGTGGGCAGATGCCAAGTCCTGCTGGAAAATGAAGTCAGCATCCCCATAAAGCTCGTCTGCGGAAGGAAGCATGAAGTGCTCCAAAATCTCCTGGTAGACGGCTGCGTTGACCCTGGACTTAATGAAGCAAAGTGGACCAACACCAGCAGATGACATGGCTTCCCAAATCAACACAGACTGTGGAAACTTCACACTGGACTTCAAGCATCTTGCAGTGTGTGCCTCTCCATTCTTCCTCCATACTCGGGGTCCTTGGGCCTCTCCATTCTTCCTCCATACTCGGGGTCTGTCAGGGAATGGGAAGATCGCTGCGGCGATCGAATCCGCACATGCGTAGAGTCCTGACAAAACGTACAGGCAGGTGGGCACTAGGACCCAGACGCGCCTGTCTCCATTGACGGCACCGGGCAAGCATTGGGACCCAGGAGCGCCTGTCAGGAGTTGGGCGGGCTATTTAAACCCAGCTCTTGCAATGCTCAAGTGCCGTATGGTCTTTCCTGTGAGTTTACTTTGCTGCTGACCCTGCCTGATCCTGATCTGCTGACTTCTCCTGCTCTGACCCCTGGGTTGCCTGACCATTCTCCTGCCTGTTCCTGCACTTTTGATCTCCTGTTGTCAAACCCGGACCGTGACCCGTTTATTCTTCTGCCTGCTGTTTTGTACCGACCTGCTCCGCTGTTACCGACCGGGCCTGTCTGACCTCGCTTACTCTACCTCCTCACATCAGACTCTCACCTGCTGCGTACCACCGACAGGTGCCTCTTCCACAGCTGGTTGCACCCAGGGGTCGCGACCTGGTCTCGGCTTGCTCCAAGTCCATCCCCACCATCAGGGGCTCTGGTGAACAAGCAGGTTGGAACTTAGATTCCGCGCCCTGGGGAATTCTGGTCTGTGGGCCGCTAGAGGCTACCACTGGCTGGTCCCTAACAGAACCATACGGCCATGACGGAGTCTGGAGGAGGACCCTCTCCCTGGGAAGAGATGTGCCACCATCTGTCCGCACTTACCCAAGCTGTCAAGACGCTGGAAGAGGGTTATAAACACTTGGAGGGACGCGTCCAGGCCCTAGCCGCTCCTATTGTTACGGTGTCAGACCCGGTCGGTTCACCCCCTACGAGTAGCCCTGCATGACCCTCCACTGGAGCAGTGTTCTTTATTCCCCCGCCAGAGCCTCGAGTCCCAATGCCTGAGCGATTCCATGGAGATCGAGGGAAGTTTCGGGCCTTCCTGAATTCCTGCCAGCTCTACTTCAACCTCCAACCTCGAACGTTTGCATCCGAATCTGTGAAGGTGGGATTCGTGATATCCTTGCTGCAGGGTGAACCCCAGGCCTGGGCACATCGTCTATTGGAGGCTCGCCATCCGCATGTGAACTCTGTGGCAGAATTTTTCAAGGCAATGGCACAATTATATGACGATCCTCAGAGAGCTGCTTCAGCCGAAGCAGCCCTACATTCTCTGCAGCAGGGACGCCGGGCAGCAGAGGATTATGCCTTGGAATTCAGGCATTGGTCTGGAGATACACAATGGAATGATGCAGCACTGCGCCATCAGTTCCGCCTAGGATTATCCGAGTCCCTAAAGGATGAATTGGCCAGGGTAGGTGTGCCTGATTCTTTGGAGAAATTAATCACCCTGGCAATTCAGATTGATCGTAGGTTACGGGAACGAAGGAAAGGTCTGGTCAAGGGTCAAGGCCTACATGGATGTTACCACGGGTCCCAATCCCTTCACATCCTGCAGTCAGCAATCGGAGTCCTGAACCTGCGCGGACGGAACAGAGCCTATGCAACTTGGGTTAATGCGGCCATCTCTCACGGCTGAGGAATGCCACAGACGCAGAGTTAATAATCTATGTCTATACTGCGGAGCAGCGGGTCACATGGTGCGTTCCTGTCCTGAGAAGCTCTGTAAGTACTCTACCATTTTTTCTATGTCTCCAACCTGTGTAGATGATCCTACTCATGTAGTCGTGCCCATTTCGTTCCAGCTCCCAGGAAGAACTGTGCAGGTAATGGCTATTATTGATTCTGGGGCCTGCAGTTGCTTTGTGGACCTTAACTTTGCAGCTCAGCAACAAATTCCATTATTGTCCAAAGAACGAGGGTTGACTATTTTTTTCTGGCTGATGGTTCACAAATTAAATCAGGGTTGGTAGATCGAGAGACCCCTCCTTTGTGCACCACAGTAGCAGGCCACCACCAGGAACTCCTCCGCTTGGACGCTATTGCGTCCCCTCTATTTCCAGTGATTTTGGGGCTCCCATGGTTAAGGGCTCATGATCCCCAAATTAACTGGAAGACTGGATCTGTTCAATTTCACTCACTATACTGCCAGGAGCACTGTCTCCTAAAGTCATCACCAGGGCCCCCAACCTTGTTGTGTGTGAATACAGATACAGATCTAGCACAGACTGTGCCCTCCGCATACCATCATTTCCTTGATGTGTTCAGCCCACGAGGTGCAGAGATTCTCCCTCCACACCGGGCCTATGACTGCCCTATTGACCTGCTCCCGGGATCCGAGATTCCCTTCGGCCGAATCTTCCCGCTGTCTGAACGAGAGTTGGGCGCCCTAAAAGAATACATTGATGACAGTCTGCGGAAGGGATTTATTCGCCCCTCCACTTCACCAGCCGGGGCGGGAATCTTTTTCATAGAGAAGAAGGACCAGTCCCTGAGGCCCTGCGTAGACTATAGGGACCTGAATAAGATCACCGTGAAGAACCGGTACCCCCTTCCCTTAGTCCCTGAATTATTTCAGAGACTAAAGACGGCCTCCATCTTTACCAAACTAGATCTCAGGGGAGCCTATAATCTAGTGCGCATTCGGGAAGGGGATGAGTGGAAGACCGCCTTCCGCACTCGCTTTGGGCACTTTGAGTACCTTGTTATGCCATTCGGTCTCTGTAATGCACCGGCTACATTCCAACACTTTGTGAATGACATTTTTAGGGACATCCTGGACATCTATGTGATTGTGTATCTGGATGACATCCTGATTTTTTCCTCATCCCTGGAGACACATAGAGATCACGTCAGGAGTGTACTGGAGCGGCTGCGCAAGCATGTGGGCTGTATGCTAAAGCTGAAAAATGCAGCTTTGAGCAGAGCAGCATTCCCTTTTTGGGGTTGATCATTTCAACCGATGGGGTTGCGATGGATCCCCAAAAAATATCTGCAGTTTTAGAATGGCCAGTCCCCACGGATAAAAAGGGGGTCCAGCGATTTATTGGCTTCGCCAATTTTTACAGGAAATTTATTAAAAATTTCTCGGGGCCTGGTAACTCCCATCACTCAGCTTACTAAGGTGGGGGTGCATTTCCGATGGACACCTGAGGCACAGACCGCCTTTGAAGCCTTGAAAAAACTATTCACAACAGCCCCTATTTTGAGTCATCCTGATTCTTCATTACCTTACATTCTGGAAGTAGATGCTTCGGAAAATGCGGTAGGAGCTATTCTGTCGCAAAGAATAGGAGTGAAGGAGCTGATGCACCCAGTGGCTTTCTTTTCCAGAAAACTCTCCCCATCAGAAAAGAATTATGATATTGGGGATCGGGAGTTGTTAGCGATTAAGACAGCACTGGAGGAATGGAGATATCTATTGGAAGGGGCATTGCATCTCATCCTGGTCTATACTGACCATAAAAATCTAGAATATCTGAGGACAGCAAAACGCCTGAGGCCGCGTCAGGCCAGATGGGCATTGTTCTTCTCAAGGTTTACTCTGCACATCACGTATCGGCCCGGATCTAAAAATACTAAACCGGATGCTCTCTCCCGGATGTTTGAGGACCCTGGGGAGACAGGCAAACCTGATACTATTCTGCCGGCGAGTAGCTTTTTGCTACTTCAGTCCGAACTCCTAACTAGACTTCAAGCTGCTTCCGCGGGGACTCCTAGGCCACCTGGAGTCTCATTGCAGAACAAGGAAGGTCTCTTGTGGAGGGGGGAGCAGATCCTGGTACCCGACGAGATGCGAGCTCTGGTCTTAGGCTATTGCCATGACCACCCGTTAGCAGGCCACTTTGGAGTACACAAGACATTGGACTTGCTCCAACGCATGTTTTGGTGGCCAAGCATGGCCAAAGATTGCGAAATGTATGTCAAATCCTGTGCCGTCTGCAGCAGGAACAAGCCCACCAGAGACAGGGCTTGGGGCTTGCTGCGACCACTGCCGGTGCCCGACAGACCTTGGAGTATGATCGCAATGGACTTTGTGGTGGAATTACCGCCATCACAAGACCATACTGCGATCTTTGTAGTGGTAGATAGATTGTCCAAGATGGCTCACTTCCTTCCATTGAGAGGTACACCATCTGCTTCAGAAATGGCACAGGTATTTATCAGAGAGATCGTAAGGCTACATGGAGTGCCAAAAAACATTGTATCTGATCGGGGTGTTCAGTTCACTTCAAGGTTTTGGAGGGCTTTGTGCGAAGGGTTGGAAATTGAACTTTCATTCTCCTCAGCATACCACCCGCAAACAAATGGTCAAACTGAGCGAACCAACCAAACACTAGAACAGTACCTTAGGTGCTATACATCGTTCCTCCAGGACAACTGGCTGGCACTTTTACCCCTAGCTGAATTTGCATACAATAATGCTTGCCACTCTGCCACTAAGCAATCCCCGTTCTTCGCCAACTTTGGCTTACATCCCTCGTTCTTACCTGATTTGATCCCGGAAAAACCAGTCCCAGCAGCTCAAGAGACCCTGAATTTCTTTACAACCAATAACAAGTTGTTACAAGAAACCATGGCAAAAGCCCAGGAGGACAGTAAAAGGATATTTGATAGAAAGAGAAGGGGGGAATTGGTTATACATCCAGGGGACCAGGTGTGGCTGGCCACTACCAATCTGAAACTGGCGTGCCCATCGAGAAAGTTGGCACCCAAATTTGTGGGTCCTTTCCGGGTAGAGCGTAAGGTTAATGAGATAGCATATAAGCTGGCACTCCCCGAGTCCTTCAAAATCCATCCTGTGTTTCATGTGTCCCTACTGAAACCCGCTGTAGCAGATCCTTTTACAGATTGTAGATCTAGACCCCCAGAGGCCATAGACATCGATGGGGAAGAGGAATTCGAGGTGGGGGGCTATTATTGACTGCAGGCGGAGGGGGGGGGGGGCAAACACAGAATCTTATCAAGTGGAAAGGCTATGGGCCAGAGGAAAACTCTTGGGAACCTGCTCAAAATGTTCATGTCCCTCGGTTAATTCGGGAGTTCCTTCACAACCAGCCTCAAAGGAGAAACCGATTGGGCATCCGGAGGCTGCCCGTAAGGGGGGGGCAATGTCAGGGAATGGGAAGATCGCTGCGGCGATCGAATCCGCACATGCGTAGAGTCCTGACAAAACGTACAGGCAGGCGGGCACAAGGACCCAGACGCGCCTGTCACCAATGATGGCACCGGGCAAGCATTAGGACCCAGGAGCGCCTGTCAGGAGTTGGGCTGGCTATTTAAACCCAGCTCTTGCAATGCTCAAGTGCTGTATGGTCTTTCCTGTGTTCCTGTGAGTTTACTTTGCTGCTAACCCTGCCTGATCCTGATCTGCTGACTTCTCCTGCTCTGACCCCTGGCTTGCCTGACCATTCTCCTGCCTGTTCCTGCACTTTTGATCTCCTGTTGCCAAACCCGGACCGTGACCCGTTTATTCTTCTGCCTGCTGTTTTGTACCGACCTGCTCCGCTGTTACCGACCGGGCCTGTCTGACCTCGCTTACTCTACCTCCTCACATCAGACTCTCACCTGCTGCGTACCACCGACAGGTGCCTCTTCCACAGCTGGTTGCAACCAGGGGTCGCGACCTGGTCTCGGCTTGCTCCAAGTCCATCCCCACCATCAGGGGCTCTGGTGAACAAGCAGGTCGGAACTTAGATTCTGCGCCCTGGGGAATTCTGGTCTGTGGGCTGCTAGAGGCTACCACCGGCTGGTCCCTAACAGGGTCCTTGTGCCTCTCCATTCTTCCTCCATACTCGGTCCTTGGGCCTCTCCATTCTTCCTCCATACTTGGGGTCCTTGGTTTCCAAATGAGATGCAAAAGTTGCTCTCATCAGAAAAGAGGACTTTGGACCACTGAGCACCAGATCAGATCTGTTTTTCTTTAGCCCAGGTAAGACGCTTCTGACGTTGTTTGTTGTTCAGGAGCTGCTTGACAAGAGGAATAAGACATTTGAAGCCCATGTCCAGGATCCGTCTGTGTGTGGTGGCTCTTGATGCACTGACTCCAGCCTCAGTCCACTCCTCATGAAAGTCCCCAACACTTTTGAATGGCCTTTTCCTGACAATCCTCTCCAGGCTGCGGTCATCCCTGCTGCTTGTGCACCTTTTTCTTCCACACTTTTCCCTTCCACATAACTTTCTATTAATGTGCTTTGATACAGCACTTTGGGAACATCCAACTTCTTCTGCAATTCCCTTTTGAGGCTTTCCCTCCTTATGGAGGGTGTCAGTGATGGTGTCAGGTCAGCAGTCTTTCCCATGATTGTGATTCCTACTGAACCAGACTGAGAGACCATTTAAAGGCTCAGGAACCCTTTGCAGGTGTTATGGCTGAATGAGCTGATTAGAGTGGGACACTTTGAGCCGAGATTATTCCACCTTTTCACAATATTCTCATTTTGTGAGATTGTGGATTTGGGGTTTTCATGAGCTGTAAGCCATAATCATCACAATGATGACAAATCACGGCTTGAACTATCTTGCTTTGCATGTAATGAGTCTATCTCATATATTAGCTTCACCTTTTAAGTTGCATTACTGAAATAAATAAACTTTTGCACGATATTCTAATTTTTCGAGTTTCACCTGTATTCTGGGATTTTTTTTTTTATACTAGTAATGGCAGCGATTAGCGACTTATTGCGGGACTGCAGTGGGCATTCTGACACTGGGGGGGAACTGACTAACTGTCACTGACATCCCCAGTGACACTAATACAGTGATCAGTGCTAATAACAAGCACTGACAATGGGCAGGAAGGGGTTGACATCTGGGGCAATCAAAGGGTTAATTGTGTGCTGTTTTACTATTGTGTATGTGTGTGCTGGAGCTGACAAGGGAGAGATCTGTATTGTATACATACACACCTCTCCTCGTCAGTGATATTCGGCAATCACTGGGTGCCAGCGGGGAATCACCTGCCAGGACCCGGTGATCGACAGCTGCAGCAGCCAATGGCAGCACAGGTAGGGTCCGTAGAAATGCAAAATCGCAGATATATACGTGATAATATAATTTTCTGCACTCACACTTTTGATAGTCAGTGTGTAGGGCCCCTTTCACACGGACAATCCAATCAAGTCTGCCTGCCTGTTTTTCAGGTAGACCCGTTAAGGACCTCTATTCTTCTCTATGGAGCGGTGGGTGTAAATGGACATGTGTCTGTTTACACCCAAAAACATCCAATCCAATCCAATCCGAGCCTCCAAAGACGGATGGGGATCTGTTCCCTTTCCTTCCATTGTAACGTATGGCATTCGGAAGGAAATGGCCAGGCGGTCCATTTCCATCCAACTGTCCATAGAGAACAGAGAGTTGTGTCTGTGTCCGCTCTGCATCAGTGGAGCGGTCATGGACCTGTCATCCGCTTGCTCAGTGGGAATCAGTGGAGAGATCTCCCACTGAGCAAACAAATCCACTAACAGGTCCTCCCCGTGTGGAAGGGGCCTAAAGGATACTGGAATTTTTAGTTTTAATGAGAAACCAAATAAACATCAATCCAAAGAGTGAAAAATAACTAAAATCAGAATGTATAAGTTTAAATTGCTCAAATGTTACCTTCTGCATCAGGTTGTTGTAGACGTTTATTGATCTCCATAAGAGATAAGAACAATGTCTGATAATTTGACTGTTTTTCCTGACGACTAAATAAAAAGAGATTGCGGTACATTTCTCCTGTGCTGGGACGACGTTCCAATATCCGGATCTTCTCCTGATCACTGCTGTCCTCCACATCATCCATTACTATGATCACATTATCCTTCCCTGTAGACACACAAAGTATTCATAATAAGAATTACATTCTTCCTCCTGTATGTACAGATCATCATCATCACCATCATCATCATCATCACCATCATCATTTATTAGTCACATTTTTCTTGAAGATACAATTGTCATTTGTTTCCTCCCATTTCTGGTGATGTTAATGGGGCATCTATGGTAGCAGAGCACTTTCCCCACAGGAGCCGCTTAGTAGATTGCATGGAGTTCTCTCCCCAGTAGTTGCCTCGCAGCCAGGCACACGGTCACAGTCACTCTTTGGCTCAATGAACAGTCCAGGGGTGTTCCTTTTGGTGTTTTTACTTTAGGGTAACTTGGATAGAGTTAGGGAATTGAGTGGGATAATCCAATACTATGAGCCTGTAGCAACTTGAGGAGATTGATCTTCTTCTAGTGAACAGTCCAAGCAAGGTCCTTTCACTTGGAATCAAAGAGACTGAGCTCTTCAGGACACTGGGCACTATATTCCCTTTACACACACAGCTGACCAGGGGACGACTGACAACTCATGGGGCCCCCGGGCAATAGGGGATCATGGGGCCCCTGTGTTCTTGCCCAAACTCAAAAAAGCCTATGAAAAAGGTACCAGGAGCATCTCATGGGGCCCCCTACTGACCCCGGGCCCTTGGGCAGTGCCCGAGTTTCCAGATGGTCAGTCTGCCCCTGCAGCTGACTCTAACAAACGAGGGATGGCAGCAGCCCACAGTCTCTAGGTTCTCTCTTTCCAGTCCTTGGAAAATGGGTTACCTTTTTCCAATATCACCCAGACACATCATCCACCCTGTGATACCAGACTAGATCCTCAGGCAATAGTCCCTCAGTCAGCTCTCTCCAGCTTCCAGCAAAACAAGCCTCCAATTAGCCCACCGAAGGTCTTAGCACCCTGCAGGCATATGGCAGGATGGCCTAAGGGTGCAAGAATCCCCCCTTAGGCTATGATTTCCTCGTAGAGAAAAAGACTTCGCTGCTCTCTGTCTTTATACATTATATTTTTACATATAGTATTTATACAGACTCCCAGCTACCATCTGGGTGACCCTCCCCAGGGATTGGCCAGGGCTGTATGAATATTTAGCTGTTTAGACTCTTACTGCCCACTAGCTTCCAGAGCTTTCTGGAATATTCAGGGGGAAACAATCAATTCTGCAACTACTGCAACACAGAACAGACCAAACAATCAACAAATTCACACTGGTTATAGTGAGCCAAACTAAATTTACCTAATCCTAACACCTACCTAGGAGGGTGCTACAGTAGCATTCCAAGTGTCTGTAGTCACAATAAAGTCATGGGGAGGCACAATGAGGTAGGTTTAGAATTAATTTGCATATTGTACTTCTATCCTAATTTTCCAGTGATGGGGATCCAATACTTTCCAAATTCTCTTATGTTTTACTGTCATGTGATCTGTAGGGAGCAGTGGACTGCAGTCATCCTTTATAATTTTGTAAGGTTTCTCCAAACACAGATTGTTATTCTTCCTTCTGCCAGAGACTGTTGTCTGTGTATAGAGGGTTATCAGTCGGTGTAATGAATTAATTGACAACCCAACCAATGGCCAGGATTCAGGGTCTGGTAAGGTGTGCTGGGTAGGTGATAAATATTTGACAGACTTCTTGCTATAACCAGAATCGCTGTTACTGGATTATGCAGAGTCTGAAATGTATTATTGTTAAATTGCTTGATTGCAGTTCCTTTTTGCTGTCACAGGATGGAGCATATATTTATTTATTTCAGGTACTTATATAGCGTCGTCAATTTACGCAGCACTTTACATATATATTGTAAATTCACATAAGTCCCTAACCCTCAAGGGGCGTACAATCTAAGGTCCCTAACTCACATTCATACATACACATACTAGGGCTAATTTAGACAAGATCCAATTCACCTACCAGCATGTCTTTGGAGTGTGGAAGGAAACCGGAGTACCTGGAGGAAACCCACACAGGCACAGGGAGAACATGCAAACTCCAGGCAGGAGGTGCCATGGCTGGGATTCGAACCAACGACCCGAGTACTGCCAGGCGGAAGTGCTAACCATTTAGCCACTATGCTGCCATGAACCTCAAGCTACTTATTCTCAAATACAGAACATGGAATGATGGGATGTGTAGTCTGAGCCATGAGCTGATAAACAACAAAGAGGAGGAGCCTGGACAAGGTGGGTATAAATAGAAAAGCCTGGGAAAGACTGGGGGCTGTTGGGAGACTTCCGCCAGCCAGTGTACAAGGATGGGGGGGGGGGGGGGGGGGTAGTGACTATTACTATTTCACCTGTGAGTCTGCATGTTCTGGAGACCCACTTGCTAGCTGCAAGTTGCTGTATGGCGATCAAGTGACTGCTACTGCCAGCTTTCACCTTGTCGCCTGTTTTCCTTGTCATTGGGGAGCCAGAAGCACCCCCCAAACTGGCTGACTAAAAATACTCCTGCGCAAGACTGCTCCAGAAATGTGGAAAGACAGCCATTGTACCACCAGATTCACCATACATTGGGTCCACAGAAGAGGCTTCCAGGAGTCAACCTCCAATGGTAAAACTGCTGCATCAGAATAAGGGAAGCTGGTGAGCAGGTCATAGACTCATTGTTGTCTTGTTTGTTGACTTTGTGCATAGCCTTTGGTTAGAGCTATTATCATTTTCCCTTTTACAGACTGATAGCCCTGCTTAGCCAAAAACCTTACTACAGAGCCTTAAAGGATAGGTTCACCTTATATTTCCCTAAATTCCAGCTCCCCTATGTACTGATATACCATTATTGTGCCTCTGTTACAGAAAAGAAAAGCTTTCTCTGTCTTCTGGGACAGTCCTTACCTCCAATCTCCAGTATAAGACTCCTTGACTACTTTCTGCCCTGTCCTGAATCTGATAGTTAGGACATGAAAACCAGTAGAAGGAAGTAGTTCACCAGCTGGCCTCATAGACACACAACCGGCACC